AAAGATTCATTAAGATTGTACGTCTAGAAATTAAATTATTGAACAAATAAATTCTTATAATGTTGCCCACACTACAGCGCAGTCGCTGCTTACAGCGCAGTTAGCAGAGCGCTTCTAATACGTGCGTGTGTATGTATGTGTGTCGAAAAGAAGTGCAGACTGATTAGAGGGTTCAGGGTATCTCCTAGTCGAGCAGTCTCGACTAGAGTCTTCTTACTTGTTCGATAATCGATAGGATAATTTACGTGTCTACACGACTAATAATAGCAAATCAGGAGCACTGGCTGAGACTTATTATTATATTATCATCAAAGAAGAATGAAGAATAAATATAACAGCATCTCAATTACCTCACTAACTTATCAAGTCGGACGGATTTGAATCTCAGAGATATCTTCGGTAAAGTAATCTACCTTTGCCGTAGTCCTCATTAACTGTTCCGGGGGTATCACTGATTCTTTATTTTTACTAATTATAATAATAAGATTTGACGAAATATAGCAGTTTAGCTCGCCAATTTTTGTATTGCGTGCTTTGAGGCGCGTAATACACGTGATATAAATATTTATTGCGAAGTGGTGTTTCGGCGATCGTAAAGCTCACACACGCAAATCATTTTGTCTGCCATTTAGTAGAAGTACGTATGTGCGATATATGTGAATGGTTAGAACAGAGCACAGGTTTGTGGCTCAGCTCTAGACTGGAATTTCTTAGCCATAAAAGTAAAACTCGACAAACAGTTGAGCCTTCACTTTTATAAATATATTCTTATTAGTTTATTTATTTGTATTATATTAGGTCAGAAATAAATATTGCAATTTTAATAACTTTTCTACGAGTTGAGCTCGTTATTTCCTTGGCCACCAACATGAAGCAGAGGCTTAAATTATTTGCACAACTTGCAGCAAACCAATTTAGGCCGTTATGCAAATATATGCAGACGTCTGGCGCCTCCTTCTTTTGAACAATGACCAATTATGCTGCTTTTTTCTGCTTTTCTATAAAATTTAATTAATAAAAGCATCAAATATTGAAATATATATAATAAACGTTTGGTAGCCAATTAGGCTTTAATTAACACAATAAAATACCTATTGTTTACCTTGTTCTATTCGAAAAAAATGTAGGTTAACAAAATTTGGGCGATAGGCTATTGGTTACTTTTCAAATTTTGGGATTCAATATTTCCAGGTTCGCATCGAACGAGCTGTTGTATAAAGTTTCCTGAGGCACTGCCATAGGATTAGTTTGTGCGGCGATTTCAATGATTAAAGTATTCAAAATCGAGGCACAAATAGCTAATATATAGAAAATTAAAAACAATTTAAAGTACTTTAATACTATTTATATAAAATATGCAAACTCATATTGCTCGCAGAATCAAAATATCAACCAAAACTGTAAGTACAATTGTCAGAGTTGATTTTTGAATGTTGCACTTGGGAAATTTCATTGGATCTGGGCTCGCTTTGATAGTTATTGGTATTGCGCGATTGTTGCTCCATTTCATCAAAATAACAGATGTACATATACGTACGTGTGTGTGTGATTCAATGGCGCTAGTTTTTCTGCTACATGCTTTTGGGCATGAAATTTCTGTAACCTTTTATGTGTGCCTCGCTTAGTTGAATAACTATCTGCCTGCTCATTTCAGAAATATCGCTACGTATGTGTGTATGTGCGAGTGTCGATGTGTGTGGCTGTCTCAATTCTCTTTTGCCCGAAATCTATTTGGCATTAGCCAAACGGCCAAGGCTGGCAGTCAGTCAGTCAGCCAAAAACAAACTACTAGCAAAACAAACTTTAATATACATGCATATACATTGCTTGCGACTGGGAGTGCTTCAGTGTGTGTGTGTGTTCTTGTATGCCAGTCAATGGCGGCATGAAATTTCCAGTGCGTCGCACACTGAACAAAACGATGCTAATGAAAACAAGTAAGAAAGCTCTAGTCGAGACTGCTCGACTGCAAGATCCCCTGAACCCTTCGAGCAAAAGCTATTTCAATCATTTTTCGCGTCTCTCTGCTTACACAAGATACACGCACACAGACTCAAACACACACATGCACACACACACGCATACATAAACACACACACCCATATACATACATAAATACACGTACACAAGCACCCACGCCTAAACACTCATGGGCTGCAATTTGTGCTTACTATGGCAACTTAATTGTTTAATAACTTTTTTTGTGGACATACAATCTTCATGAAACTTTTAGATTATGATCATAACATGGATATACATTTATTTGCTAAAGCAAAAGTCTCTCTGAAGGCATAGTGCACAGGTTATCTTCCTGTCCAGATAGACAGCCCGTTGGTCAAGATTTACCAACAGGCAACTGAAGCCAAATGGAGAAAGGTCCATGCAAACAGAAATCACTGAGGCGATTGTGAGAGGTTGGAGTGTTGGCGGTGTGACAAATGCCAAAGGTGCTGACTGTGCTACTTTTATGTTGCAACTTCATTAAAATTGGTTTTTATGGCAATCGTAAAGTCATCTCAAAAAGTCACTTCTCCGTTGTAAATGAGGCAAGGCGGATAACGCCAAACAAAAGCCAAAAGTACCAGATTGGTCGGTCAAAGGACGAGACGAGAGAAGAGGAGGCGTGGTAGCAGCGGTCGAGGACAACGCTACTTTTAATTACTTGCTGCATAAATTTGCACTTATTTCCTTTTTTTTCTAAGTCGATACAGACTTGGGTCAGTTGACAGGCCGGTCGGATGTAAGGTTGCCTTGTTTGCCTGTAGCAGATTTCTCGCTTAATACCGGACAATTTCGGTGTATGAAAATATGACATGAAAGATCTCAGGTTATGCGTATATTTTACCTACCTATAGATACATACAGGGTAAGTTCTAGTTGAATCTATAGCATTCCTCCTTTTTGTGTGTATCTCCTTATCTTTTCGTCGGAAATGACAAAATTTCGTTAGACTCGTGCGAGATTTCACTAACCTAACAAAATTATGCAAAGTAGTTTTCAAGCTTTAAAGGCTAACGGTACAACAAGGATTAAGCCTATGTGCGTACTCTGCGATATCCTTAATAAAAACACGTAATTTTTACAGTTGACTACATTCTGACAAGTTTTAGCTGCAATAAGACAGAAGTCATATGAATTGGTTGTGTGAGTTTTGGGCAGGTCCTTTGCTATTCTGCTATCTACTCCTCTCCTTTTTTCCGAATTGTGTTTGATTGTGGCATCCTCTACTCTGCTGACCCCAAATGTTCACGAGTAGTATAATGGTAAAAAAATTAAATACATCACATCTAAAAATTCTGAAAATAAGTGGTGGTGTGTGTGCGGTGCCGGGACTGATTGTTAGTCTACAATGATTGACTCTAATGTCATATTGCGCGATTTATGGGGCTAGGCGTGACCGAGTGCTGCAAATGACTAGCAAGAGACCAACCAAAAGTGTAAAGCTGAAATTGACAGTTATATGGCCTGACAGGCAGTTGGGGTATAGGATATATGAGAGAATAGTATTCCATTCAATCAACTAAATGAACCAGCCCAGCTCAAGCTTTATCATGCCTTTGCTGATGGTGGCAGTCACACATAAGGTCAAATATACATACATATATACATATATGTACATATATGCCAGGAATTGGCATATCTACACTCTGCTATTTGCCAAAAATTTTTATGATGAATAATATTTATGCTATCACCCTAGATTTTGTACTGAGTCAAGGTTTTCATTACTCATTGTGATGCGAATTGTTGTCATGATCAATCAACATGTAGTTATGGTAATGAGCCCTACGTCCTCGCCATAGTCAATTATTTTCAATTGTGCTCAACTCAGCTGGGCAGCATCAGCTTATCATTTATAAAGTTAACTGCCACTCAAGACTCTCACAATACAGGTGAGTGAGTGCTTAAGATGTGATTTTTTTAAATGAGCTGACAGAATGAAAATAGACAACGAATGTTGCGGGCTATGAATGTGAAGGTATCTGAAAGAGAAAGGAGAGGTAACTTAGAAAGTATCTTGGCGTGTGTTTCGATGGTGAATATAACTTGATATAGCTTACATTTGACACACAAATGAAATTGACAGCTAATCCGTAATTGATCTGCTGAGCAGGGCCCGATGCAGCTTCAGCTGAGTCGTGAGAGTTAATCTGCCGTGACGGCAGGAAGTTTACAGCTGACAGACATCCAGTTAAACAACTAACAGGATGCTAAAAGCTAAAAGCTAAAAGACGTGCTGAAAACAGAAAATCAACCGAAACTTTTACCCTCTCACTCAGTTCGGTCACTAAGAGTATTTCATCACACACTAGAAAATATCCAAAAGATACATGTTTTTGAGATTTTCCTTTAATTCTATGCAGGGTATCACAAGCAAAGTGTCAACGTAGCAATTGAGCTTTCCATGAATTTGTCAGTCTAAGTGAGTAGGGTAACCTAACTGCATGAATTTCAATTTCTGCCATAATAAAATGTGCCACACGACAAATGCCTTTGGATCCGTGCCTGATTTTTAAGTCTCAAGTCCCAAACACGGTGAGCATGATGGTCTCGCCAGCCATACAAAACTGCTTATTCTAATGCATAAAATCGTAAATTTGCAACGAACTTAACGGCAACAAGCGTCGAAATAACAAATCGTAAATAAAACAATAATACATAAATGCACATTAAAATCTGAGAAAGCGACTTAGAGAGAAAAGGCATTGAACGGGCACTAACCGTAAAAAAGTGGCCACATATCAGACGCTGCCTTGAGCTTAAGAGAGAGTGTAAGATGGGTATTACGTGTGCTTGTATTTGCATATGAGTGTGTATGTGTGCGGGTGTCAAGCAGGAGACGAATCGTTTGCGTTGATTGCACAACAATGAGGTGTAGGGACTTTCGTTTGTGTGTGGGGAGTTTATGAGACAAGGGCACGAATACAGTCATAATATATATATAATCATATATGCTGCGTATGTATTTATAAATGTACTCCTACGCCCGACAAAACACAAAGCATAAGACAACAGTACAAATAATAATAAAAATAAAGTGTAGCATTAAAGCGAAAATAGCAAGAGCAAGAATGACAACCCAAAGCACGCACAAGGAGCGAGCTAAAAGGCAAAATTAAACAACGACTACAACAACAACGACGGCGCTTAGTGCATACAAATGTCAGCCAGGTTAACACTGACTACATTGCCGGCAGAAATAGAGGGTAGAGAGCATTATGCTTGCAACGTCAACCCGCTGCTACCTGCTGTATGAGCGCGTTGCGTCCATTGCCATTTCAATTTAAATACAGCGAAACAGCAACAGCTACCCTAACAGCGACAGCAGCTATTTAAGCCACACCATGGAGGACGTTAGCGGAACAACTCCAACAGCAAAAAAGAGTACATTGTCAGTAGATCGTGCCGCATTTCTTCTGCTGCGCGTGAAAAAGGCATTCAAGAAAAAAAGACAGCAACGCAAGGACCGACAGTAAGTTAAAACCATCCGTTTGCCACGCCTTTCTTCACATTCCATCGTCCCACACATTCTTCTCCTTTAATGTTTAAGCTTTCGAATTGGTTTTTCATGTTCTGTTTTGTCTGAATAGCATTTTTCGCAGTACTTTTTTGCTTTGGCCTTTTCGTTTTTTTTTTTAAACTTGTTTTAACTTAACAAGGATTTCCCTATTAGGCCGCCGTAAATCCAAGTGTATTGAATTTTTTCTTTTTATTTAAGCCGTATGACTGAACTTACAACTGTCGACTCAAAACTCAAAGATATACGAATATCCAGTAATTAAATATAATTATTAAATTATTAAAACAAATGTTTAGCTGCCGATTTACATAAATATGCCCCCTGGACAAACCAGTGTTGGGCAGGGTAGCTCCCAAGGTAGTTCCCAATCAAGATTAATTAAGGTAAATTTGGGTACCTTTATTGCCATTTCAACGGGTTTTGGCACGCCAATCAGCATCATATCATCTTGAGGCAGCCTTTGGCTACCACTTAAAATAGCGTCCTTCCATAGCTGTTAAAAACGGCTTTCTGCTAGTGGCGTTCTCGCTCAAAATGTTTGTTAAGCAGATTGTGGTAAATGCGATGGAAACTTTATGGACTTGCAATAACACAGGGGCAGTTGCTGCAGCATGAGCGTGCGCTGCGTTACTCAAGTCCATATACTAGCACACACATCTACACACCATATGATCTTATGACTTTGCACTTATACACATGTGGATATTTTAATACAACACTGTTGAAATGAAGAAAAATGAAGACTTCACAAAAAGACCATTGGAGCAACCGGTATACAATATATTATCAGTATCTTATATATATAGCTTTTATTCGATTTCTGATTTCACTTCGCTTAAAAGTTTGCTGTAAAGCGAATTTTATTTTCCTCACTGCTTCTTCGTAATGAATATGCTTTTTGTGTTGGGGTATTTACATGCTTGGCAATTTTGTAGCTTTTTCTAGAGCTGAAGTGAGAGAAGAACGAGTTTGAGAGTGGTGGGTAAGGAGTGAGAGATGGAGGATGGGGAGCAGACTGTAAAAAATTACTGCAGTCGAAGAAAAACTCAATTAGGCACAAGGAAAAGCAAGAAAATGTGGAGCTTATGCAGCGACTGAGCATGACGCTTGTTAAAATAATAAAATTTTTGACAAACTCATTAAAGTGGAACGTTTCCGATCTTGCCTGCATCTACACCCAAAAGCTCTTTCTTAAAAGACGCGACTTGTATTCATTATAGAACTTAAACACATTTTAACCTCAAAATGGGGATGGAGTTTGTGAGTTAATACTCTTTAGTTGTATATATGTTCCTAAGACATGTCATTTACTACAGCCGTGTTTATTAAAAATTGATATAATTTACCTTTATATATATTATACATTACAATATATTTTTGAAATATTTGTTTTATTTTTATTTGTTAAATTAATAAATCTCGATAAACGTATTTTCAGCTTCCAGTTTTTAGCCGATCATAGAATGTTATGAGAATTCAAATTAGTATATATATTCTGATTATACTTTGATTAACTGGAGGACTTACTTAGAAGGTACATATTACCTATTCGAGCAAAATTGACTTTTTTTAGCGCAGCATTTTTGGTTTTTCATGCTGCCGCTAAGGCAGCTCTTCTTGATTTGATTACATGGGGAGCATTTGTTCTAATTATGTACGCGCATGTAAACACAGCTTCAAATGCAATTACGCAACCACCAACACACACCCACATCGACAGAGAGCGACACACTCGCAGGGGATAGATTGTTGAGCACACAATGCGTATGCGTAATTGGGCATGCGAGACATAACCTTCACCCTTCTTGTAACTTGCTTATTTGAAATGTGTGTGATTATATGTTTGCCTTTATATGTACATGTGAGTTTATACTAGAAAAAGTTATATTCCATTCGAAAAACGTCTGGGTAACAAACAACAAAAATTGTCTGAATGCTGGAATCTATGATATGAGATATGGGAATTCCCGAATTCTATTCATATCAGTTTATTAATGGTATTATGTTGAATACTGGAACTTCGTTTCGAGCCTAAGACTTACTTTGAACTATGGTTCAGTTTACTTTACAAACCACTAAAATTACCACGAATCAGTCGCCTATACTCCTCCCCACACAAAATTCCTTTTTTACCCACATATATGATATCTAATAGTTTGTCACGTTCTATTCAAAGTATTTTTAAGTAAAATATTTCTAATACTAAATGGTGCCAAGTGCCACGTTGTTATGTTTGTGAGTCAATTATGTAGATCCGTTTTAAGTTATGCGCGGGCGGTGACTGCCGAAGAAATTTTTTTGGAAGGGTTGGATAAGAGAAAAGGCTGAAGAGAGGCGATGGTGTATACTTTTAGCCAGCTGGAAAAGCCACAGCAATTGAGCTTACTTTCAAGAAACAGGCGGCCCGACAGCTTAACGCCTTTTAAGTTATTTTACGTCCTGAGGCCTGCTGAGCTCTGTAGGAATACGCGTTTAGCTTGTTTTGCGCTAAAAACTCTTTGCTCCTAAAATCCGTTACAGCTCCATAAATAACAGAAAGGTTACGGTAAAGACGAATAATGAATATTTTCTTAATGATAACTAAGAGTAAATTCGTGCGCTATACCATCTTGACTCATTGAGCGTGAAGGGCTTGCTTAAGATTCTATGTACACATCGTGTGCTATACCTACATGTGGAAATAATATTGGCACAATAAAGCGGTGACTCCAAAGCCAGCCTGATATTTTAGGCACTGTGCGAACTTCTGTGAACAATATGTGTTGTGTGTGTGCGTGTTTATGTAATGTTAGTGTGTGTGTGACAGCAGTTATTTGACATTTTTGTTTCCGCTACTGCTGTGACAAGGACGAACACAAATTGCGAAAAAGTCGACGAAAAGCACAAATGTGACTGTAACTCTTTGCACAGCGCCCGCGGGGATAAAATTGGGTTGAGAGTGTTTTAAGGGACTCTGACAGGCGAACTTACTGCAGTAGAGCTGTTGCCTCTCCAAGGCGCCACTGTAAGCCGTGCAGCTACCTCAAGCTCGCGGGTGGTCAAATTTGCTGTCTCTTTTTCATTTCTTGTCTCACTCCGGAATGATGCTGCTTGTTTGTATGAAGAATGCTATTGAAGCTATTGCAATATCGAAATATTATATATACGTAGGCTAATTAATAATGCATGATGTAAATAAGAGCTAATTCATTTTGCTGGTAGTCGAGGGCATGTTAGTAATTATAGCATGCATGCATTTCCCATACAACTCAAAGGCAGTGTCAGAGATAGAGGCAAAGCCAGCACCACCACCATAAATTCAATCATACGTCAAGTTGAGCAATTCGTGAATGGGTTGACAGCGTACAGCTGTTAGAAGGAGACTGACGGCCTTATGGTGCTGACAGATTCGCACATTTGGTATGCATGTAAACGTTTCAAATGGGAATTCAATATGGGAGGCGGAAAAAGGATTAAAAAATCAGATTTTATTGTACACAATCAAATGTAACTCGAAGCTGGCAAACATTTCCCTCATCTTACTTTTCTGCAAGCATCATGCAAATGCAACGGAAATAAAAAACAGCAGATGGCCCAGCCCACCCCAAGTAATTGCATCTTCTTTCTGCTGCTTTAATTGGCATCAATAAATATTTGCATTGAGTTATTTTTTATTTCACTCTCTCACAATCATTCACACTCTCTTCCTCTCTGCCTCTATTCTCTCTCTCAATCTATTTCTATCTCTCTATCCCTCTCTCTTTGCAGGGCACAGCAGAGTGGCAGCGGGTGCATGGTCTTGGGTAGCAATGGACAACAGTCGCGCGGCGGCAGTCGCAAATTCCCGCCGCCATTGTTACGGTCACGCACCCTGCCCGCCATTATTGTACCAGGGCTTCCGGTTGTCTCACTGCACAGAGATAAGCAACCATTTCACTTGGGTGTGTAATCAATTTAAAACTTATAGAGAAATAGTTATAAGCAAATTCCACAAGGCAGCTTTTTGTCTTAACATAATATACCTCTAAACAAGTAAGAAGACTAGTCGAGACTGCTCGACTAGGAGATACACTGAACCCTCTAATCTGATATTCTAATCAGTCTGCACTTCTTTTCGACACACATACATACACACGCACGTATTAGAACGCGCTCTGCTAACTGCGCAGTAAGTAGCGACTGCGCTTGGGCTGCGCTGTAGTGTGGGTAACATTATAAAAATTTATTTGTTCAATAATTTAATTTCTAGACGTACAATCTTAATGAAACATTCAGGGCGTAATCATATGATGAAAATGTATGTACATTCCAAAGCACACGTCTCTAGTACTTGAAATACGGGGGTAAATTACAACAAAATTCGAAATTATATAAAATGCATATAAGTCTACATTTAAAATTTGCAGCTCTAGCTCTTAAGGTGTAGGAAATATAATTAAATATCTAGCTTTCGATACGGTTTTTATCGATAATAAAATATCGGGAGTAGTTATCGATATATAAAGAAAAACTTGATATGCGCGTGATATACACGGACCTAGGAAAAAAAATTTCAAGTCTCTAGCTCTTATATCTTCTGAGATCGACGCGTTCATACATACGGACGGACGGACCGACGGACGGACAGACAGACGGACAAGGCCAAATCGACTCAGCTCGTCGCCCTGATCAAGAATATATATACGCCTCCTTCTGCCTGTTACATACTTTTAACAAAACCATTATACCCTGATTTCCCATTTTCAATGGGTTCAGGGTATAAAAATTATTGTAAATCTACACTGACGTCAATCCACAATACAACTAGAATTGAATATTAGAAACACTTAAGCCAGTTGTTTAATACCATAAGTGTGGGCATAAAAGTATGCCATGGATTTTTGCTCATTAGATGCTTCTTGAGGGCGCAATATCGGGGACCATATATTCAAGAAGCTAAAACAGCGCTCTTGGATAACACACAAACATTTTGGGTGTGTGGTTACGAGCCAAAAACGTTTTCATTTGTGAGAAAATTAATTCAATCACCTTATCAAGCTTTCAATTTTGAATTTTAATTCAATAACATTTGAGCGCAACGTAATTGCAGCAAACACACACACACCACTCATGCATAATGAAACAGTCATAAATAATATTTGTTATATTTCGAAATCTGTATCCATAGATTGTAAAAGTCGCAATGGCAGCGCGAGTGGTCATCGTTGGTCTTTGCTCACACGCGGTGCGTGTGGTGGAACTAGTGGAGCTGGTGCTGGTGGTGCAGCTGCTTGTGGTGGCAGCCATAACAACAACAATACTAATTTAAGCAACAACAATAACAACACGCTAATGGTGAAGTCATTGAATTTACCAAAAGATGATTGCAGTCTGATTTATCGGAGGAAATCGTCGGGCAGCTCGCCCCACGCTCATGCCGCACATGCGGCTATACAACAGCATGTGGCACAACAACATTTGCATCTCTATCAGCAACATATTCCTGATAGTTCGACTTATCAGTTATCCGATGATTTTGAATGTCATGCGGATGGGTCGCTTCTGCTTCGGTGAGTTAAGACTAAAATAAATGTGAAGCCAAGATTTTTAAACAGAAAGAATCATCATGGGAGTACATCGGTAGCTCCCCAGTGATTAAAAAGGAGTACTGAAATGATACATCCTTATCTGGAGACTTCCGTTCAGCGACTATACAAGTCACTCAATTTTTTTCCTGTGAACTTTAACTGTGTTCTGTAATTATTTCACTTGATTCTTTACCACAGGATACCCTCGCCGCATTCCGCGGCACCATTACGCGGCTATCCGTATCGTCTGGGTGGGAAGAAGCGTGCCACAGCATGCTCAGAGGCAACAACACCTATGGCTAGAGAGCACCATCATCTGCACGATTTTTCCACGGCCGAGAGCAGCGGCTCGGGTGCGCATACGACCTTCACACGGTTGGCCAAATTGCTGCATCAATCAAGATCCACTCTATTGCCACAGCCGCCGATGTTGCACGGCGACAATTTCGGTATCGAAGCGGGACCAGGAACACAACAGGCGAACAGCAAATCTGTATTGGGCCTCGGCGAGGATGCACCGCGTCGTTTGTCGTGGGAAAGGTTCGTATACAATTTACATGGCACTTGCAGCATGCAGGGCGCTATCTATCCACCCAGCTGTTAGCCATTAGCTCTGTCAGCGTGTCAGCTTACCTTCCCTTGGCTTTGGCAATTAATTAATTTCATTTCTGGCGACAAAGTTGCTCCATATTTTAGCCGGGGCTTACACTGGTGGCAGCTACGTTGCGTGCAACGTGCACGTGTGTGTCCACTTAATTGCTGGCTGCATGCGAATACGTGAGATTGGTACACCGGCATCCGATGACGCTACATACTCGAGTGCCCCGCATTTATCTTCATTTAATTTGCCTCTTTCCCCCCCTACAACAAATTTAGACACATGCCTAGCTTGCCCAACTTGACCATCTCAGGATTCACAGAGCTAGTGCGACTGAATTTTTAGTCAGATAAAATAAATGAAATTAATTAACTGAATTATTCTTTCTTCGACTTGTGAAGTAATGAATTTGGTTATCAAATTGCGATTATTTTTACATGCGAATCAGTTCCTGCTTTGCATGTATAGTAGCTGATGACCCAGCACCAACACAATTTATCTCTATATTATATTTAGAAGCGCGCCGCTAAACTTGCCTTCACAGCCAGTTCATCTACAACTAAACCACAAGAGGGGACGAGAAGTTTGACTCTTGAAGGACTTTGTCGTTTTTAAGGCACAAAACAGGAGCAGAAGAGGGAAGAAAGATGGATGGCTGCTCTGGGTTTAATTTGCGTGCGCGCCATTTTAGTTTAGTTTACGCTTTGTTTGTTAGGAGATTTCCCATTAAATATATTTGCTGGAAAAGGGTAGAAAAAGTTGTCAAAAATAGAGCATCTATAAATATATAAATCAAATAATAAAATAATGTATATATATATATATGTATATATATATTATATTTTTCAATTTATGTTAGTACATGCCTTACACATTTTAGCTTTCGCTTCGTAGTAGGGTACCAGAGCTATATATTTAGGTAGAGGGTCGCTCTTCCGAGCTCAATGTAATAAATTTGTTGTTGATTGTTTTTGCTGTGTTTGCTGCTAAATTTAGACAAAGTTTCTGCGCTTGCAAGGAGAAAACAAAACACAGTAGAAATAAAAAGAATTTAGTTGGCTGCAAGCAAAAGATATAAAAGTTGAGCAGTATTTCGCCTGACCCAGACGCTTTTAATTGTGAGTGCATTATTCATAAGCCACAAAGCTAACAACAAATTTCTTAAATACAAACTATGAAAGCAGTCCGAAAAGAAGAATGAGCCTAGCGGCACTTAAAATACTCTAAAAGGCGGATGTGTTTTGCATATATGATTTATGGAATCGATCCAATCGACTAAGTAAAGATATCATTGTATAATCAATTTATAAGATCAGTTTTAAATCTATTATAATCCACGTTGTATTGTGCATATGTTTTCACACGGCAAAGAGCAAGCGAGTCCAGCCAATAAAACTGTGTCTACTACAACTCGGAGGTTAGTGTAACCAGTCTCTATACGCCGACAGCCAAAGCATTCGTGCAAACTTCAGTTTTGTGCAATTGTGGGCTGCTGTTGCCAAACAGACGAACAAACTGAAAGACAGGTCAGTATAGAGAAAAATTGCGTATACGGCATGTGTTATACAAAAATCAGTCTGACAACGAATGACCATGGCCATAACAATGGCTCAATGCCAGCGTAAGCGAGCTACGTAGCTTGCGCCCTTTGACTTGCATTCAAAAGATTATCTGTCATGTTAGGCTCGTTTTATAGAGGCACAACTACAACCAGTGCGAATACTATAGGATATTCGCTTGAATTCGTCCACATAACATAGGACGAGACAATAATGTAACATGTTACGAAAATGAATAAATTTTGTAAACTTATGAGCGAGGCAGTAAGTAAGCGTATGCTTACCACTGAAAAGTGACATTATTGACGAGTGGGAGTGTAGCTGTGTATGCGCATGCTTATAATTGAGAATTGACTCATTTGTTCTCGTAGGTTAGCAGTTAATAAAAACGGGCGTTTGAGTTTCTGGCAAGGCTCAAACGGATTTATTCAAAGTAACGGTAAATTAAAGAAGAGCTCTAGATATTTCTATTTGTCAACTATTTACTTTTAGTTTTTACAGGTCCACCAGTAAATTATCATCTTTCGCTCTCTTTGCTCTTTTGCTCACACTGTTAATAATTATTGTACATTCATTGGCCGTTCATAAAACAATCGTTCATTTGAAGGTATTCCTCTAAGGGCGAACCATATAATTTTTTAATGTTTCCGTCTGTCTTTATCATTTAAAAGTATTTCCCAGCTAATATATCTAAAATATTTAAATTTGGAGCATAAACTTGTATGTATACACATACCGTCAATTTTTATACTCATTCACGAAAGTGAATTATTATACTCATTCACGAAAGTGAATTATTGTACTCATTCACGAAAGTGAATTAGTATATTGGTTTTGTGCAATGTCCGTCTTGCTGTCTGTCCGTATGAACGCAGTTTATTTCGGCGCTATAGAAGCTAGAGACTTGAAATTTGAAACACATACTCGTGTATATCTATATAAATTTATAAAGTGTTAAAATTTTCCTGATCCGCCCACTAGGAGCATGGCAAATCGGAAAATGCACTTTCCGATATGCCAGAAATCATATTAGTTGAAGAGCTAGAAATCTGGAATGTAAATCCGCGTCGACCACCCAAGATCACGAGCTATAGCAGATATACCTACGCCTATTGGGGCGTGGCAAATCGGATAAATCTGTATCTCTAATAGTTTTACAGCTAGAATACTGAAATTTTACACGTAGGCTAATGTTATGATTCTATAAAGTCTAAGTCCTGAAGATATAGTGATTGTTTAAATTCTGCTAAATTTTGTGTATATACTCGGGCTGACCACCCAAGACCAAAAAGCTTTGTCGGATATATGTCCGCCCGCAGAGAGCGTGGCCAACCGCAAAACCACCATATAATCACGTCCGTCTACAAAATAAATTATTCACGTGCTTATACGTACGTGTGGATGCATGTGTATGTATGTGTGCATAAAAGAAGTGCAGAATGATTGGAATATCAGCTTGGCGGGTTCAGGGTATCTCCCAGTCGAGCAGTCTCAACTGTAGGCTCCTTACTTGTTAGTGCTTAAATCTTTTAGATGAGTACGTTACGAAAGGCGGATCACAAAATTTACACGTTTATCTGTAGCATGAAGTTTCTGATCCTCGTTTTAAAAATAGCTACACGTCCAAAAAACGTTACTATATATTCTTTTAATACTACGCCAATTTCCAGCAAAAGCTTCAACAGATGTTGCAGCTGAGGCAGGCACATACCTTTAACTATGAAAACTTTGTGTTGTATTATGTTAATGATAATGCTAATGGTAACTAGGGCGGGACACTGACCGTGAAACTTGGCACAACCTGAGCAAATTGTATCTAATACGCCGTGTAGCTAAAGTAATTGCAAATAGTTTACAACTTGCAAAAGCAACAGATATTCGTCCCAGTCTTTGACAGTTGCCTCAATCTCCCTCTATTATAGGCGTAAGGACAGCAGTGCGTTACAGCGCTCGGCCAGCATTGATTCGTTTGCGGAAATTGTGTTTAACGACCTGCCACGGCCATCGCTGGATGTACCACGCAGTGTGGTCGCCACGCCAACACCCTTCAGTAAGCGTCCATCGGCAAGTAGCCTGTATTCAACATGCAGTAGCATTGCGGCCGCTACGGCCGCCTCCGCACAGGTGCATGCTCAGCTGAATGTTAATTATGGCGACCTAACAGCATATTCGCATCAGCATCAACTTGCACAGCATCCAGGTAACTGCAGCAGCGGTAGCAGCAGCACCGCCAACAGCCGGCGCGAGAGCATGTTGAGTCCCTCGTCAACGCGACGCAACAAGCAATCTCGCATTATAAATGGTAAGTGAAGGAGGTGAAAAGAAAGAGCAAAGAAAGTGTAAATAGAGCGAGCACAGCTTGAGCGGGACACTTGCTGGATATCAAGCTAAACTACTAGCAGCAGTTAAGTCACATTAGGTTGATAGTATCTGATGCAGAAGTAGCAGTAGCTCACGGCATTCGACAACGAAGCTGGCAGCCTATTTGAAATTCAAGTGCGTATTTAAGCACAAGCTGCTTAAACTTCTGAAATAGCTTAAAAGCGATATTCAGAAAATTAAGTGACAAGAGAAGTAACTCTCAATAGAGCATAAAGATTGCAAAAGGAATTGTAATGAACCAAAAAGAAATCAAAATGCACAAAAAACAGCAACACTTGCACACAAAGAACTAATACGTATGTATGTTTATGTTTTTACGTTATTCATATTTTTATACCCTGAACCCATTTTCAATGGGAAATCAGGGTATAATGGTTTTGTTAAATGTATGTAACAGGCAGAAGGAGGCGTGGCAGACCCCATAAAGTATGTTTGAACGCGTCGATCTCAGAAGATATAAGAGTTAGAGGTTTGCAATTTTTTCTCCTAGGTCCGTGTATAGCACACGCATATCGCGTTTTGCTTTAAATATCGATAACTTAACCCCGTTATTTTGTTATCGATTAAAAACATTATCGAAAACCAGTAATAAATTTATATCTCCTACATCTTTAAAGCTAGAGTCTCCAAATTTTTTTTGTAGACTTATATGCATTCTATACAATATCGATTTTTGTCAAAATTTACCCCCCACCTCTAATTCACCCCCTCACCCTCACATTTGTAAAAGGCGTATTTCAAATACTAGATAGTCCATCCACAAGAAAAGTTATTAAACAATAAACTTCCCATAGTAAGCCAACACTGCAGCCAATGCGTGTTTAGGCTTGGGTGCTTGTGTGCGTGTATGTATATGTGTATGTGTGTGTATGCGTGTGTGTGCGTGTGTTTTGTGTAAGCAGAAAGACGCGAAAAATGGTTGAAATAGCTATTGCTCGAAGGGTTCAGGGGATCTCGTAGTTGAGCAGTCTCGACTAGAGCTTTCTTACTTGTTCTCTTAGTGTTCAATAATTCATATCATTACATTCAAGCTTATTCCACTCCTCCACTCTTACGCTGATAGCGATTTGCTTTAGGCTTATCAACGACTTCCGCAAAAAATGGTTTTGATTGCAATATTTTCCCTTTGTATATTTATTTTGTTTTGAAGGCTAGCTCTGCCGCTTTGGTATCGAAAGCTCGTTTGATCCGCTGCTATCAGAGAAAAATATAATAAGCTTAAGAGCAACGATCGTCAGCATTTTTTGCTCACTGCACAGCACTTCGAAATGGCAACTGCGACATCAACGTTATTGTCAGCTGAGAGCGTCAACTGAGAATTGTGAGCGAAGCGCTGACCAATACGACGCTCAGTCGTCCAAGACGTTGACGCTCTGGCGCTATCTCAGTCGCCGTCGCTGCGACTTCGGTTTCAGTTGGCTAACGACTTCTCTTGGAAGCGCAGCGCGCGGTGCGCCGTCTTCGGGTCGAAATTACAATAGCAACAAATAAAAACTAAATCCATTTGAAAATTCAAATTGTGTTAAACACGCTGTGCAGTGTAAGGTGATCTGCAAAAATTGTTAGACGTGAGTCAGGCCCTTGATTAATAACATTTTTAGCTAAATAAAAAGTCGCTTAAAAAAGAAAAAGAAATTATAAAAAACCCTACGCGTATTCGCGCATTTATTTCTGCTTCGTTGTGTTTGTGTGAGTATCTCCAACTACCTGTTTGCAGACGCGCATTTGTGATCGTATATGTGTGTGCTATAAGTCAGGTAGAGATAGAGAGAGAGAGAGAGAATGAAAAAGAGCACGCAGCAACTAAGTTACTTGCAGACGCTATAGAGAGCGCTGTTAAAAAAGAGAGTGTTACTGAAATGCTGAGAGTGAAATTAAACGAATGATCGTCGTGCATTCGTTATTATTGAAGTTGGTTGTGTCAAAAACTGAACGTGCCGCTTTCGTTTTAAAAAGAAACGTTGAGCCAACAGCCTACAACAACAAACACCCGCGGGACTACATAAATTAACTACCGCCTGCTGTCTCTGCTGCTGCTCTGCTTCTGCTACTGGCGCTAGCTGCAAATGCAATGTTAATTTAAAATTAGGTGCCAGAAAAACAACAGTATAAGCACCTCACTTAACTGTAATTGCGTTTCGTGTCCAATTGTTATTATTTACGGAGCTTGAGTAAAATGTACAATGTTCACAACTGCAACTGCAGCGAAAGTGAACTTTTGCTTCTTTATTTTTTTTATCTTTTGTTTAGTAACTTTTTTGTTTTTCCATTGTGTGAGACATAAACTTGGCGCAACTAATTTACTCGCGGCTCTCTCACGCGACTGGCACGGGCAACAACACCAGCGGAAACATTAAGAGATGCGCCGCATCATCATCGGCTTCCCAAACAGCGATTTTCTTTAATGTTTAATGAAATTATTCGCAAAGATAAAGCAACGTTACGAAGTGGACACCGAAATTGTAACATTTATAATCAGTAAAGAAAATGAAAAAGCATTGTGCATATAATTACCGACAAAGAGAGTTTTTCGAATATGTGATAATGTTATAGTACAACAATTGAAACTAGTGAATGATCTAAGTGACTTACTACAGAAAAGACAACGTAGCAATTCTCAAGGGATTCCATATAGTGGCATCTGTTTCTCTCACCACATGCACATATACATACATGTACTTATAGCTGTAAAAATCTTTGCGCGTTGCTCACCGTGTTTTTTCGCTTTTCTTGATGTGCTGCGTGGTTGTTGTTTTTGCAGCAGTTTTACAGCCATCGCGTCTTCGGTTTTATTAAAGGTGTTTGTGTTGCAATTTGAAGTACGTCGCACGATGAACAGGTAAGCAAAACAGGCACACACAGATACACACACAGGCTGTGTTCAGCTTTCTGGCTAAAATATGCAACGCTATGAAAAAGTTGAACTATTGCTAAATTTGTATGACTCTGCTGCAAGTCGCTTTCGCAGATGCGTTTTTTACCCCCAACCAGTTTATTCACATTTCCACTAAACCGATCGATATTTTGTTAGCAAATTACTGTCTATCTCAACATCCTTTGAACTTACTACCCTTGGCCACATTCCATAGGGCTTTCAGGAGAACCATTAGCAGTGTAGTTTTGCAAAACGATTCCAAAACAAAAACATTCCAAAACGGACTGAATTTTAAACGAAGCTATTGCTAAAAAAAAACCTGCGTGATAAAAATGGCCTTTTTTTAACGTATTTATCATGTAAATTTTTTTTTAATACGGTTTCTTAAAATGAATGCCACTGCAATGAAAAATTCAATCAGTCATTCGTTGACAAATGGGTATACTGAAAAGTGTATAAATTGTACTAGTTTTTAAATCAGTTACCAATAAAATACTATCATAATGAAATGCATTAGCGAGTCTATGCACTTAGTTACTAGCTGCCTCGTTTTTCAGTTTTTTCTTCCATGGCTTCATTTATCCATTGAGGTTTGAACTTATCATATTGCCGAATAGCATTATATTAAGCACCCACATGGTAGGCTTTTTATTTACACACACAATTTCGTGTGCACATGCACACACAAATTTGGGAGAATGTACAATAGTCATATGTATGTCAAAAAGTAGCACACACAAAATTAACTTCGGCTTTGCAAATAATGGTCGCAAAGGTCAAGGAACAAGCCACAAATATTTTCTTCCCCGTTCACTTTCGCCCTTTTATTGCGCCATTCTAACTGATTCCACGTTTGGAACTATTCTGCTAGCATACTGAATTCTTCCATATTCCCTCTTATAAACATTTCAATTAGAATCAAATTGGCATCCCAGGAAGCCACAAAGAAACTTTTTACAAATCGGCTGCTAGTTGTATCATTTTTAATGTCAGCCTATTGGCACAGGATGGCTAGGTGGTAGACATATTGATGTTGGAATTAGATTACAGGCAAACGCAAAAAAAGGATGAAATAAAACTTTTAATAACACACATTAAAACCCTTTCCAGTAGAATCCGGTTATAGCGACACTTAAGGGACCGTCGATTTTACGTCGCTATACCCGGGGAACGCTTTAACAAGAAAGAGTAAAAAAAAAAATTTTTTTTTCTTTTTTTTTTACGGTTTCATGTTCGTAATAACTTTTACTATAAAACAATTTAAATTTTTAATCAAAACAACCATTTTTTTTAAACTTCTTTCAATAACATGGTTTAAAAACATTTTTGTGACGTCGGCATTGTACTTTGTCTCTCTCCCTCTCTCTGTCTTAGCAGCATTTGTGGCGTTGCTACGCACACAAGCAAGGGTACTGATCACTGATCAATACATACATGTTACATTTCTAACAGAGTCTTTTTATGCTGAAATTTGTTGTCATTATTTCGCGATTTTTTGTATCATGTCGTAATAACCGGTGATTGACTCAAAAATATGAAAAAAATCGTCGGCATAAGCGGATTGTCGTTAAAAGCGGAGACGTACTAAGCGGAGGCTCTTTCATATAAGTTTGTATGGGGACCAACCAAGACATCGAATTTTCGTCGACATAACCGGTTGGACGCTTTAAGCGGAGTCGTTATAACCGGATTCTACTGTATATGTATATATAACCATATATATAACTAGAAGGAACAATACATATACATGCATACACACAGACAAACATAGGCACGCACGCAAATACACGCATGGGATGCAGTGTGGGCTGGCTACGGGAATTTATTTGTTAATTAACTTTTCCCATTTTGAATGGGTTCAGGGTATAAAAAGGACGCTACAATAATTTGCATTTCTGATTAATATGAATACAGAAGTTTCTTGATTTGACAGAATTGAACAAATAGAATGGACTCAACCAAGATAGCGATAAATAAAATAGCATAACTGCAGTCAATAAAACCTCAGTCAAGGGACAAGCCAAACTCAAATTTATTATATCGCAATCTCTGCCCCCACTTCCTTAAATAACTCAGTTTTATATATACACATATACATATAGATATATACATATTTATATTTATAATGTCGGGTTACTTAAATTCAATTGGCGTTTCCGCTAAAGTTCACACAAGACAGAGCTCGTGGAGGGGTTCCGCACTTACAATGCGGTTTCATATTGGACAGACATAAAATATGCTTTTAGCTCTTGAAGTAGCAATAGGGTGACCCACAGAGACATTTTGAACACTGTTAAGCAATTTCTTCAGAAGTCTACAGTGAATTTTCAAAAACTGCCTTTTTATTAAGGAAGCGACATATTTATTTAAATGAAATCGTCTTGGACTTAATGTATTTTATAATTGGCAATTATGGCAGAATACATTTCCACATAAATGCATAAAACATATCAGAGGATAGGATACAGGGAAGAGTGAGGGTCTAAAGAGTTCTGGAAATTATCCCTATCTTATCAACAATGTTGTCTGCTGTTAAGTGGATTACGTTATTTTTCTGGGAGAGCGAAAAAACTGGCCTTTATGCTGACTATGTACTCTGATTTATGTCGAGCAACGCCAATTTTGCGATGTGTGCATTTTAAACTAGGCAACGATATGCAGTTGAGCCACAGGATACCCCGGGAACACTAAGGATTCATGTGAACCAACATGTATTTAGTGTAGATACCAAAAAGCTTTAATTTAAGCTTTAAAGTTTAAGAACTTTAAAATTTATAGTAACTAACTTCGTATATTTTCGAAAATAATAATAACGATAGGCAATCACAAACAAAAGATCAGGGATTTCTTTGAAAAGACACATGCCCCGCCGCAGGTACAATTATGAATACTTCCCTCTAATATAAATGTGTTTTCAGTGGTTCAAAGAACTATATTTTTAAGGCGGATATTCGCGACTACTATCAATAAGTTTATTTTAAATGTTAAAAAGATCTGCTTGCCATTCGTATTTTATGAATATTTAAATGATAGATGTATTTCGAATATCTTTTACACTTTTCTTCGCTTCGATAAAAATGTTAACTGTTTGTGAACAATTATATAAGCCAACTTTCAAAAAAAAAAAAAAAAAACCCGTGGATCAGTCGGAGATCAACACATCAATATTTCCAAGACAATTCAGCTGAACTCATATAGGGGTTAGGCAGAGGGAATAATAGAGAGGGGAATAGAATAAGAGAGGCATGCAGAGAGTAAAGCGAACTACCTAACTACATATATATATATCAACCCCGATGTATAATAACATCGTTGTGTACAACTCACTACCTAAGTGAATGAGAGAGGGACAAGGACAGTGAAAAAAGGAAATATATGTATACGTGGATATGAGAAAGAGATAACAATATCTAAACGTGGAGTAAAATGAAATCAAATCGAAAAATATCTCAGTTTTCATTTTGTAACCGCGACGAACGCTACAGAATCTCGTGTAACTGACGAAAAAGTAATATTGAAATTGTTTAATTTGTATACGATGAAATAAAAACTTAAAAGAGAAGTGGTAAGGAATGGAACGACGGCGTGCAATGAGCTCCTATGCCAAACTTAAAGAGCAGCAGCGGCAAAATAAACAGGAACAACTAGAAGAAAACGACAGAGAGCATGATGAAAATCCTGATCAACAGTCAGCATTGCGTCGCTCGCATTCGGTGCGCGCCTCGTTGCGACGCCTCAAAAGCAAGCTGCAAAGCCCAGCCCTACCGCTACAATCACCTTTTAAACTTCGCCCGCATTTGCATCGGCGAAGTCGCAGCTGCAGAACCGTCAGCAAATCGAAGGCAGTCCAAGCTCTGTCCATGTGGCATGAAATTGACAAAGTTGCTGTGCTGACCAAAAGCAAAAACAAAACCATGTTGCAAGAGCGTTTACATGAGGATGACGTTCTAGGCATTAACCACCTCATGTCCACACTGCCTGTTGGCGCAGCACTCCCTCGCAAAGTCTGCAAACTGCTGCAAATACCTGAGAGCTACTCAGAAGCCACAAGTGATACGGCGGAGAAATCTCACTCAGATCCAGTACAGACCGAGCTCACGTGCTACGCCTCACAGGGCATCTATGGAACTACACGGATGCGCACGGCTACAATCCGAAAGCCGATGCCTCACCTAAACATTCGTAGGTGTCTAACTTTAGGCTGTGAATATTCATAAGTGAGAAGGAGGGAAGTGGGAAAGGATAAGTCTTCTTTTTAATTTGAAAAAAAAAAAATATATAAAAAAAATAAAAAGTTACCTTTAATATTTATAGTTTTCCAGTGAATATTGTTGCTGTGATAATCATTGAGAATATACTAAACCATATTACTTGTTTCTCAGCTGTATAAAGAGAAGTGTTGTATATTTACTATATATATGTATATGTATATATATATAAATTACATTCAGATAACTAGTCTCAAATAGCTTTGTATGACTGTACTCAATATTGAGTATAGCCAACGTATACATGTATATATGTATGAATTATGTGGCTTGAAAGGGCATTATTAATGCTATTGAATCCATCTGGACTAAGGCTGCTCCCAAATGGTCATAATAGAGAAACGTCGTGTTACAATTACATAATTAAGTTTTAAATAAAAACAATTTTGTGGATGTGTTGTCTGATGTTGCAGATGCCACCAAAGCCACAATGATAGCGACTTCAATGATAATAACCACGTCCCCCAGAAGCTTCAGATGGGCAGCTGTTTGCGTTCGCCTGCGCATTTCATACGCCAAAAATCGTTTCACACGCTCAACGAGCTCACCAAGTTTTGCCAGCTTAAAACGCCGACTGCGACGGCAGTAGCGACATCGACGTGCATAGCACAACGCGGTCATTCTGCCAACGATGGTAAGCAAGTAGCACCGGCGATTCACTCAGCCCACCCACATATATAACAGCTCACCCACATATATAGCAGTATATGGCTATATACAAAATCGTATACTACGGAATAACAGTACATCTATGTAAATCCGTCCAGTCTCTTTGTAGATTATGTCACATACTTTTCTCAAACAGTTCAAGTCTTATATATAATTTTATGGGGTTTTTATTGAGTGGGTCGTTGGGTGGCTACCGGTGGTTGCTTGGGTGATACTTACGCTGCTTGACGGCCAAGGCGATCTAATCCAGCGATGCTTGAGTACATGCAACACACACATACATATACATAACACAATCTCAAACACTCGCACATCTAGAACACATTCTCATACACATAAATATATACAGAGTGCTGAAAAAAATTATTAAAATTGCCTACTAGTCATTCAACAAAATAAATAAAAACGAAGGCAAATATTTCGGTTTAATAATTCATCAATGAAAATTGCGTTCAAAACAGACATTTGTATTTATATATATCACTCACATTGGTTTGGATTATTTACATTTATATATATTCATTTATTTAAGCATAATTTCTAATTAGTCTTTCATTTCACAATTGATAAGATGTTCATTTAATTTGAAATTTATAATTTTTATTCTAAACCCCAATCTTCAATTCTTAATTTGTGCACATAGACAACATTTTGCAAAACTCTAGTGAGGAAGGGGCTGTTAAACTACGCTTGAAGCAGTCCTTTGATTGTCAGGTTAACAATAATCAGGACAGCTATCACGTCTGTCATCCTACCGCCAGTTTTCGTTGGTCGGAGCAACTTAACCATCATGGAACTGTAGCCAAACTCCGAACCGCCATTACATGTCACGGCCAAGATCTGCGCGAAATGGAATTCCTGCTGCCTCAACAGCAGCAGCAGTCTCAACCACAGTCCAGTCCACAGCTGATCATCTCTCGTCACTCCCAGAAGAGTGTGACGAGTGCGAAGCTCCGGGACCAGCACGATGAGGATCAGAGACAAGACATTGATGAGAACTCCTCAACAAATGGACAACAGCAACAGTTATCAATACATCGGCTTCCTGTACAGCTGCGCAATAAAATTGCTGGCAATACACCACATCCACGTGTCAGCAAAATGTCTAAGAAACAAGTGAAGCTTGCCCAGGCACAGCTAGACAAGCTCACTCAAAGCAATCTTCATTTGCACGGTAAACACATTTCTGCTCTGCTCGCTCTTTGCACTCCCAACTAATTTCTAGCTCAAATACGAAGACTCTTAGCTTGTTGCATATCCAACATAATTATTCACACTTTGATTTTTGACAGCTCTCATCTCAGCGGTGGAGCATGGACATTTGGAGAAAGCACGAACCATACTAGAATCCACCGATGTAGATGTCAATAGGTATGTCCGGAAAAAAATATGAAGATGGATAGCAAAAGCGGGATGTAATTGAGTTGGTCAACAATGACCTGTCAAAGTTATCTTTTCTGAAACGCAGCTTAAGATTATATATGTAAATCAGTAAATACAAATCAATTAACACTGATTTTTAACCTGCTCAGTAGGACCTGAGCTAGTAACTCTTGTCCTTCTTTAAGAATATATTTTAGAACTCCAATCTTTAGGAAGAAGTACATTCTTGGTTTTCATTATATTCTTCCCTTTTTTTTGCTCTGTTCTTCCTTAGACGACCATTATTCTTTTTTTTTTTATACCCTGAACCCATTGAAAATGGGAAATCAGGGTATAATGGTTTTGTTAAAAGTATGTAACAGGCGGAAGGAGGCGTGGCAGACCCCACAAAGTATATATATTCATGATCAGGGCGACGAGCTGAGTCGATTTGGCCCTGTCCGTCTGTCTGTCCGTCCGTCCGTCCGTCCGTATGTATGAACGCGTCGATATCAGAAGATATAAGAACTAGAGACTTGAAATTTTTTTTCCTAGGTCCCTGAACCCATTGAAAATGGGAAATCAGGGTATAATGGTTTTGTTAAAAGTATGTAACAGGTGGAAGGAGGCGTGGCAGACCCCACAAAGTATATATATTCTTGATCAGGGCGTCGAGCTGAGTCGATTTGGCCCTGTCCGTCTGTCTGTCCGTCCGTTCGTATGTATGAACGCGTCGATCTCAGAAGATATAAGAGCTAGAGACTTGAAATTTTTTTTCCTAGGTCCGTGTATATCACGCGCATATCAAGTTTTTCTCTATATATCGATAACTACTCCCGATATTTTATTATTACGCACTAAAAGTTTCATTAAGATTGTACGTCTAGAAATTAAATTATTCAACAAAGAAATTCTTATAATGTTGCCCACACTACAGCGCAGCCCAAGCGCAGTCGCTGCTTACTGCGCAGTAAGCAGAGCGCGTTCTAATACATGCGTGTGTATGTGTGTCGAAAAGAAATGCAGACTGATTAGAATATCAGATTAGAGGGTTCAGGGTATCTCCCAGTCGAGCAGTCTCGACTAGAGTCTTTTTACTTGTTTTCTTATTTTTTTTTTTTTTTTCAAATAATCAATGTATATTATATCCCTACCCCACAGCATCAATATAGATGGCCTCTCAGCACTCGATGTGGCAGTCCTCAGCAACAATCGCTCCATGACCAAGATGCTGCTGCAGCATGGCGCTCTAGATGGCTCACAATGTAAGATGAGATAAACTAAGCATATTTATTATTGACCAACCTGTTCCTATTATAACATGAACAGTTTCCGTGGATAGCATTGGCACCAAGCTGAACGGCCTGCTTAAAGACGCGGAGTCTCGTATTCATGATCTCAGTGGACCAGATGGTCTTTGTACACCCGGTTTTAGCTCGCGCCCTTCCATATCTAGCATTATAATTGGTAATTATAGCCTACTTTCGACGCCAGCCTTAATTATTTTACTTTAATTTTGGCTTTGACTTCAGGCAATACGGGCTCCTCAGTCACCGGATGTACGGGCAACGAGGTGGATAAACAGATTGGCATTTGGGAACGTAAGGTCAAGGGACTACGTCGCTTGCTGCTCGGCTGGGACCAGGCCCGACCACCAGATGCTCCTGCCTCAGTTGTTGTCGATGTTACCGGTGACAATTCCATCAGCTTGCAAATACTCGAGCCCTACGAGGGAGCCATAGCTACCAAATTTAAAGGTAAGCAACAAAAGGTCCACAGGGGGCTTTATCTTAGATTTAATTTTGATCCCCATTTATTCGTTCGTTATTCAACCAGTTCAATGGTCAACCCGTGCCGACTTTAGTAACATTGTTGGCGAGCGCGAGCTTCTCGAGTGGATTAGCTTTCACGGCACCATGGGCGCTCACTGCCCCATAACAGGACTTACCCAAGGACGTCGCTACTTTCTACGTGGTGCCTGCGGTAATGTCAAGGGTTGGGGTAATTACCGTAATTCGGTGCCTGCAAGCGTTGTGCCGTCAAGTGAGTATCAATCTTATTACATATTCTTAGTATCAAAATAATACACATCATATAGAAGTTCTTAGATAAAATCGTTCGTTAACCCAAGCGCAAATTTTGGAGCTAAATTTCATGCAAGAAACGCTAAACGGTCATTGGACAGCACTATAATGGGTATTTGGGGTTTCCCCTATTTTGTTGTTAAGCACAGATTGAACATTTTATGAAACACTGATCATTGAAACATTAAGGGAAACTTACTTTCCCAAAAATATCTGTTCGTTATGCAAAATATTCCGTATCCGAGGAGCTTGATAACCGAGGGTCCATTTTATACTATTGTTTTTGTTTATTGTGAACCGATTAACATTGACAAACCAGGATAAAATAGTTTTGTGAACATGGTTTGAAATAAAAATAACAAGTAAGAAAGCTTTAGTCGAGACTGCTATTTAAAAAATTATTCGCTCCTTTCTGCTTACACAAGAAACACAGGTATACCCACGCACACATAAACACGCATTGGCTGAAGTTTGGACTTACTATGGGAATCTAATCTCTAATCTCTTTCTTAATTACATGCTTATTATCTTTCGAATAGCATGGCGTGACCTGGAAAATCGGGAGAATCGATTTTATGGTCGACAATGCATGCTAGACAATCTGTTTACGGCTGTGCGCTTAGCTCGGCCTGCAGATGTGTCTGAACTTACCCTGGATCCCAGCAACGTGCAACGACGCAATCCCAAAAAGAAAACTACTATTAAGCAACTATTCTCTGTCACCTCTAAGTTTCAAAAGACGTTGCGACGGTAAGATAACACGCATCTGTAATACCAGGAGCACCTAACTAACTTTAATATATTTAATAGTGGCATCTACTTCTCGTGCATCGTTCACTGTGATGACAAAGTGCTAGTCACCAGCGAGGATTTTCCGCCTGTTATCGAAATCGATGAGTCTTATCCGAGTGCCCTACACATGGACTACTACTGGCTGATGAAGGTCGCGTGCACATGGGAGGATGTGAAGTCCCTTCGTACAGACATGGAACGGAATCTCAGTTCACCCGTGCACTTTCGCACTAAGCTGCTGTCAGCCGTTTGTCAGATGCAATCTGCGCTAGGAATTACGGATCTCGGCCAATTGTATTATAAACCCCTTCGAGACACACAGGGCACAGTGGTGCTCACCTGCATACAGTCGGTGAAGAGTCAGAAGGCTGTATCTATTATAAATTCACGCTGGCTACCCGTTAGCAAGTTGCAAAAAAAACTGGGCGCTTTGCATGAGGATTACACAATTAATGAGCTGCTTATATCAAGCATTGGGGAGCAGATAGATTATCAACAGGCAGCGCTACAACGACTTGACCCAGGCCTCTATTTGGGCTATCTGAAGATGCAATGCTCAATGGATCAGATACAGGTGGTTGTGCCGGTGAAGACGCCCAATGTACTGCCCCATTGCAAGGTGCGCGAGAATAGCCACGTTACCGCCGAGGAGTGGCAAGTATTGCATCGCATTAAAAATAGTAAATCAGTTCGACTACATCTCGACTTCAGTGCACCTAGCGATAGGAATGGCAATGGCGATGACCAAGCCAACGAGGTGCAGTGTCTTTTCCTACACGATCTCAGCACAGCAGTGCATAAGCTGCTGGATGGTATGAGCATTAAGCCAACGGAAGCTGCAACGCATCGCCTCTACGATGTGGAAATAATCGAGCTTAGTCGCGACATTAGCTTTCTTATTGTCTGCCCCTCGGTGGAGGCATCTTGCGCCGTACCCGGTCAATCGGAGTTGCTCTTACAGCGCAATGAGTTCGTCAGCCTTAGCATCCAGGCCTTCGAGATGATCCATTTACGTACCTATCAGCCGGCCATAGTGCAGAAATATGCGCGACTCTCCTGCATCCTGGAGCTGGATACTGCCCTGGCCACCCATTCGCATCGCGAGGCCTTCTCTAGCAGTGAATTGCAGGCGGCCAAGGAGCGACTAGCAACACTGCAGGACCTCAGCTCAAACCTCTCGCTCGTATGGAAAAGCGTGCGCTGGTTAATGGATGTGGTTGCATATGCTCGAAATAAGCATGCTCAGCCAGCGTTAGCTATGCGTGAAATACTGAAGTTTGTCGAGGAGCAGGATAAGCACTTGTTGCAACTACCGCTTCGCGACTCCAGATGCAGCAAGACAGGTCGCGGGAGCTGGCCAGGTCCAGGTGTTAATGAGGATGGTGACAAGCCAAACAGCAATCCAGAGCATTCCAAGTCCGAAACGAATCTGGGGCAGAACGCACTGACACCCACCTCCGCACAGGCTACATCTCTCGAGGCAGCTGACAAGCAGCCATTAAATGAACAGCAGCAACAACAGCAGTCACAGTTGCTCCAGGTAGGAGTCAGCGAATATACTGCTTCAACCTGTTCAGATGTTTCGCTACGTAAGAACAGCGGCGACTCTGTGAGCTCCGCGTATACGGCACGTAGCTCTGCCTCCGATGGCAGTAACTGTGTGTTTGCTTTGCCCCCTTCGCGCTCCGATGATACGCTGGCGGATGCACTTCGTCATTCACAAGCAGCTGCAGCGGCACAGCGTAAGCGCACCAGTTCCCACATTGGACCCCTTCCCACACCCCTCATCACGGTGCACTGCTCCAGCTCAGTGCCGTATCTAGCGGGAAGTATCTCTGCCTTTTCTGGAGATTTGGAACACAAGGCGCTGAAGCCGTCAGGCGCGGAGTACAGGCTGAAGGCTGCATCCAGTGTCAATTTGCGTGAGAGTGCACTCTATTTGAAAAGCTCTCTATCTGCCCTTCAACCAGATTTGAAGCTTCTAAGCAGCAATGAATTAAATTCCATAGCTCCCAGCACCTCGAAAGCATCCTCAATCAAAAGTCTGACCCATCAAAGCAGCGAGGAGGATACCGCCAGCTGTTCCAGCTTAAACGCCGAGCAGGCAGTCGGTACTACAGGTGCGGGCATCATTCAGGTGTATACCGCCTACAACACAGGATTGGCCAGCGGAACAAGCCTCAAGCTTCATGTAACGCCGAAGACAACAGCTAGAGAGGTGATCAATCTGGTTGTCAAGCAGCTTAACATGGCCGCCGTGCTAAAGGGAAGTAAAGGACCCATTTATAATACTGATATGCTCGATAACTTCTGCCTTGTAGCAGTTATTGGTGCTCGAGAGCGATGCCTTCGTGATGACTTTAAGCCTCTCCAGCTGCAGAGTCCCTGGAAGAAGGGTCGCTTATATGTGAGACAAAAGCATGAGCTACTCGCAGCCATTGAGCACTCTAATCGTAAATCCCACTTGATTTAAGAGCTAAAAAAGCGACCGTAGAAGAGTAACTGTCCACCAAAAGTGCGAGCTTGATATACCTTCAAGTTTGTATATAAAATTTATATGTATGTATATGCTATGATCAGTTATAGACACTACAATTATACGTCTACGACTAATGCAAGCATATTACCACAATATCGTTTGCACAGTGTTTAATTTGATTTTTCCATAGATTGAATAGAAAGGAATAATTTAAAAATATATAGCTTCGTGGCTCAATATATAACACTCCTTATCCTTACTAAACTAATAATAAACTATTACCCAAAAATAACATTACGCTACAATGCTAACAATGCGAAAATCAAAAAACTATTTTAAAATACTACTTTCTATCTACTTCTATCTTTGAATGAAGAATGCGTTACAAGGAATATTTCCTATTGAATCACAGGATTCAAGAACTCAATCTTCGATTAAAAACAAAAGCAATTGGCTCGTTGTAGATTATTTTAACACAGTTAGCTAACAGATATTGGTATACCGACCAAAATGTGTACTTGTACACCGCCAATTTACCCACATGAGTATTATTGTTGGCTTTTTGATTTGGTGTTTGCTTTAATGGGTGCTCACTGTGCCCAAACAAGTTTGACGACCAATTCCCCAAATTAGACTGAATCACCTACATATGTATGCTAAATGAGAAAAAAAGATAAGATAGATACATATGGATATTTCTACAGGAAATCTGAAGCATGTCAACCCTTTAGTTTTTTGTAATTATCTTGAAAACGCACCAAATAATGTGCTAAACAAATGCCAACATTACTATTTTTTTTATTTTGAATAATAATGACTTTTATAGTTTTTGATTAGCAATATATTTAGTAAATTTTCAAGATAATTAAAAAAAAAAAAAAAAAAAAAAAAAAAACAAGGGACTCGCACGCTTCAAAGAATAGAATTTTCTGGAGAAATGCCCATATGTATATGTATATCTAAGAAACTGTAATAAAATGGTATTATATAATAAGCAGCTTAACACAGACAGCCACGTACACGTATTCACACATAAATATGTAAATAAAGCGTAAAAATTGTTGTTAGTTGTGTTAGAACTACTTTAAATATAAGTGAAACAGATTACACCAATATTATACATATACATAATATAATGAATTTTTGTAGCTTAGCAAACTAAATGTTTTGATTGTATTTTTGTGGCAATTTTTAGGAGCACACATTTTTTTAATATATAAATCTAAATGTTGAAGGAAGCAAAAATAATTTTTAAAAATATTAACAAATATATATACCATAAAATTATAGACTCCCTCAATGTGCGTATTGTATGTGTTAAATAATTATTATAAGTCATTTCCAATTTGAATTAAATAATATTAATATAACATTAAGATTACTTTATAGATTGTAAAGCTGGTAAACGCAAATATATATTTTTTAGTGTATTTCAGAAAAAGATAATTGAAGAGATATTAGCAATGGCATTTTTGTGTTTATAAAATGAAAGTTAAAATAAACAGGTTTAAGTTCTGTTGTCCTATGTTACTTTTCATGCCCGTGGTATGTGTTTATAAACAAGAGTATTATAATTACATAAATATATGTTATTCAAATATTCTAGGTGTGAGTGTATTAGCTCATTCTATTTACTCTAGATTTAAATACACTCACATATCCAAATTGTCCAACATTATTATAGCTAGAAGTGCTATACATACATACGGAATAAATTCTAAAACAAGAGTCCATTATAATGTAATAGTATACATACGTATATATGTACATACATATATATCTCGTTATAAAAATATAGATATGATAATTTTGAATCACTTAAGATGAGACCAACAAGAACAAAACAAAGAGAGAAATATGTACATTTTTTGTAAATATTTATTAAACATTTTTTGATAAACTTTTTATTTTTGGATGAACCAAAAAGTCCCAAATCAACGAACATGACTTGAAATTGAAATCCCAAATGCCCAACGCTCCATAAGAGTAAAAATAAAAAGATATTACAACGAATTGTGTTAGCTAAAATTAATTGTATTTGTTATTTAGTCAAGAATTGAAGTACTTCAACAAAAATGAATATAAAAACCGCCGTCCGTTCCCCAAAAGATTGTTTACAGAGTGGAATAACTGTTTATGACGCAATCTAATTGTAAATTGATTAAGGTTTTAAATGTCGGATATGATTATGTAGCACATATGCTTATATTTATATAAAAATATATTATATACATAAACAAAAATAAATATATAACATATCTAGTGTTCAGTAAACGTTTAATAGAATTGCTAAATAAAAACAGCCTAGCAAAAGGTCTTATCAAATAAAACTCTATATGAAATGATGTTATAAAATTAAAAAAGACTAAAAAAAAAAATGTATATATTCTATACTACTCCGTGTATATTTTTGGTGTCCGTTAACTATATACAATATAATTTTTAATAAAAAATTCAGACATATTGAACAAATAAATGTACTAGAAGAACCTAAGAAGAGTAGTGTAAAGGCGAGGAAGACGATGAAGACAAATTCTTCAATTAATTTAAATAAAGACTTCACAAATGTTAATGGTGTTATTAAATTATTATGTATTAAAATTAAAATAACTATATATGTATTTTTGATTTACCTGGTGGGCTTTGACTTAAGCATATTGTTTTTATACCCTGAACCCATTTTCGATGGGAAATCAGGGTATAATGGTTTTGTTGAAATTTATGTAACAGGCAGAAGGACGCGTGGCAGACCCCACAAAGTATATATATTCTTGATCAGGGCGACGAGCTGAGTCGATTTGGCCCTGTATGTATGTACGTATGTCTGTCCGTCTGTCCGTATGTATGAACGCGTCGATTTCAGAAGATATTAGAGCTAGAGACTTCAATTTTTTTTTAAATGTCCGTATATACAGCGCGGATATCGAGCTTATCACCTAAAATTGATAACTCATCCCATTAAAAAACCTTATCGAAAATCAGTTATAACACTATATCTCCTACATCTTTACAAATTTTAAATGTATACTTATATGCAATTTATACAATTTTGTTTTTTGTAAAATTTAAACCCACCCCTATATCCACCCCCTCACCATCACATTTGTAAAAGGCGTATTTCAAATACTAGAGACTTGTGCTTTGGAAAATACATGTATATCCATGGTATAATCATAATCTGAAAGTTTCATGAAGATCGTATGTCCACAAAAAAAGAGTCTAGCTCTTATATCTTCTGAGATCGACGCGTTCATACATACGGACGGACGGACAGACAGACGGACAGGGCCGAATCGACTCAACTCGTCACCCCTTCTGCCTGTTACATACTTTTAACAAAACCATTATACCCTGATTTCCCATTATCAATGGGTCCGGGGTATAAAAATGGACACAAACTCCTCATTTTATATATGTATGTATGTATATGCGAAAATGGCCAATGCCACTCTTATACTCGCTTGTCACTTACAACCTCTGAAATTAGTTGCATTTCTTTCAGACCCTTCGCCTGGAGCTGCACTACACTAACACACAAAAGCACCCACGAAGATCGTTAAGTCAATATTTGCCTGACTCACGCGCTCATTATATAGCGGACTCCCTTCCACTTATAAGTTGGAAACGCAAGTCATGGCGACATCGCAGTCGCTACAAACAGCGCAGCAGTAATTTTATTATAATGATATTGTTTTAGACACTTGAAGTTGTTGTGAAATTATTAAATCTATAATTGTATGTACATACATGTATATATAGGCATATACATGTATGTAGACTTAAGAATGTACATTCATGTAAGATTGGACAATTATTAGTTTACTCTTATGCCTGTGTGTTAGAAGGTATGTATATATTATGTACATACATTGTATGAACACACAATACATATATACATGTGCATTCATATGCGCCTTCCCATACATTCAATATGTAGTCAGATCGACAGAATACATGCGCTACACCTCCATGCGCTACACCATTATAATTTATGACCGCCATAATGCTCAACTGATTGCTAGTTTAGCTCGGAATAAATTATTAGAGTTATTATTAATTGTAAGTATTTCACTATTTGTTTATTTTTTAACTCTTATGGCATATTGAAGTGTCGGTCGGTGGCACTTATTCGACTTCCTATCAGATAGCATCTCAACAACAATATATTTAAAATACCTTTCCATTATGTGCGATTAGATGTTATTAATCTAAACTAAAAAACTAAATGACAAGCAGCGAAGCCACGTGATCAATACGGGACTACAGACTAGACATAAGCCTAGACAAAGAGAACAAATGCGGAAAGTCTGCTTCAGGTCTCGTATTACGCTGACGATAACAATTGGTGATTACTGTTGAAAAGATTTGAATAACACTCATGTATGTATGTTTATATTTATATTTATATTTATATTGTATTACAATTACACAAACCTGCTACCAGTTACAGAAACAATACAGCAATTTAATGGTTTCAATAACTGTTTATAAAAAATTAAAAAAAAAAAAACAAGAAAAACTGTACACAATCAAATCGTTTGAAGTATTCACTCACTGCTAGAGTATCACTCACTTCTGTTCTCATCTCGATTTTGGGTTTTGTATAACAAACAATAAGTACAGTATTTCATGCATACATACATACAATGATACATATACGTATATAAATAAATATATATATACATATATATATATATATATATATATATATATATATATATATATATATATCAGAAGTTCGGTATTGTCAGCCTTTCATTCCACTTCTAATTATCATTGCTCGACTGGGAGGCACCCACTATATAGCCCTTGGCTGTGAGGACGCTGCGACAGCGGACATGCACTTGGTAACGCAGACACCAATCGATTGTATAGCCGGGGGCCAAGCATGCAAATTGCTCTTCAGCTAAAAGAAGCTCCGGATCGCTGTGTGTATTAAGTACCAACTCATGATCGCGACAGAATTCATGCAGTTCGGCTGGTACTACGCAGCAGGTGGCCAGATTTACCTGCGCTATGGTGGGCACCACCTCAGCCGATTTGTATAACTCAGCCAAAGTCTTTGCATCGAGATCGGCAATGCCCAACTGTTTGATTTGCTCTTTAAGTGCGTATTTCTCCAAGCATTTATAGAGTAACTTCAGTTCTTCTATACCCTGCTCACCATTACGTGCACTCCAGCTGTTGGCCGCATCGCTAACGCTGGTGCTGCTTCCGCTTTCGCTCACCTCAGAGCAGGGACTTTTAGCTGTTGTGGCTAATGTTGTTGTGCTGGCAACGGTCGAAGCATTGGGATGGTAAGCGAGCACCACGTTGTCCACATGCGTCACATTGAGTATGTTGAGTAACGCTTCAACGGCCTGATTGATGCACTCCGTCGAATATTTGTTGAGGAATATCTTTGCACCAATGCTAATCTCATTGCGTCCATTTTCTGTCAGTCGACTGTTCAGTTCCTGCGTAGCACAGAGCACGCGACCATGCCGCTTGTCAATCTCAACCACCACGCTCTCTGAATTTGGATTGTTGTGCAGGGTGATTTTCAATCCATCGTACAACTCCTCGTTAGACTTGCGCTGTCCCAGCTCGTTATTGATAATGTTGCCCGTGCTGATGACCACGTTCTGGTAATTTTTCGTTATTGTTGGTATCATATTGATATTGCTGCTCCTTTTTCTCAAGCTAATAATCCCGTTTGTTGATAAGTGATTGCCTGCCACTGTCCCGACTATCGCACTTGTCAGCCTCTGTTACTATTTAGCCCCGAACACCGTGTGCATCGGCTTTTAAATACACTTTGCACTAGCGATGTTAGCATGAAATATCGATATATATTTTCAAATCGATTACTGACAAATGCACAAGTCATTTGCACAATTACTGTTTATATTTTTATACCAAAACAGCAAACAATGAAATTTAATATATTTTTGTTTATTTAATATGGCTAATAATATTCACTGCTTATTTCACTCAATTTTAGTAAATAAATATTAATCAGCATATGGATATTTATATCAATAAGATTAAATACATATTGGTATTTTTTATTGTCTCTATATATGTATTTTTTTTTTATTGTATTTTGACCAACACTTGAACTAGTTCCATAAAGTCAATTACACATTGGCGTATCGATAACTTTGTTGATACTATTAAAATTTTTACTACAGATAATTCGTTTGTCACACTAATGAGCTAATGTAATAACTGTAATGTAATAACGGCAAATGACAATAAACATTACTCTTAATTAATATTTATAATTTTATTTTTCTAGTTGTGTATCTATCTAAATGTTATTAATAGATTTAAAAAGGTATATTAACGCATCATATCTGGCATACGAAAACTTATAGTCCAAGAACTATGGTTTTCGGGTCCACTTTGCGGCGGAGCACTGGAACCAAGAATTAAGTGATCGCATGCATTCTTAGCCAGCGGGCGTAAATTGTGGAGACTGCTATGAAACGAGATCCGATCGCCTTGAGTCATGATGAGCTCGCAGCTCTACATCAGATGTAAAAGGTTCACATCCTAACAGACTTGTCGATGCCTGCTGAACGAGCAGCTCGTACTCATACCAATTTCAACTCTTCAGTGTGCAGTGACCTGTGTATGTATTAAGCGTCTTAATCACGCGCTGCCACTTAATGCTGTCAATCTCGCGCTCAGGATTACTTTCTAAATGCTTCACAATGTTTTCGCCATGCACACAGCAGTCGTCCCAACCTGGTAAACAGGCACGGCAAATCGGACACTCGGTCATGCCCACAATTGAACTAGATATTACATTGGGTATGGGACTAAAACGAAGATTAATCTTAAAACTGGACGTCATATATGGAAATACCAGTACACCTGTGGTAGCGAGGGACGACGCGATAGATAGATGATAGCATGCGGCGTGTAGACTACAGCATTACGCCCAGAATGTAGCTGATCATCGACAACATGTGCACTCAACATACATCAATGACGAGCAAAGTGACGTCTAGGTTATTGAATCGAGAGTGCAGAGTAATATGAAGACGCCAATGGTTATACCATCTTCCAAAAGCTCAGGCTCATACTCGCTGCTTTTCTCGTCCGATAGATTGCGTCGTCCTTTGCGTCGTAGATTACAATGTCGTCGCTCTTTGCGTTCTAGCAGCTTGGGCGTAATGTGCTCATTATTATTGCTCATTTCTTGCAGCACGCCAGATCAGTTTGCTCACCAAATCATTACACCTGCGAACGACCCTCTACTGCAATGTATTACTTTAGCTGTTTAGTAATACAGCTAGGCGCAAAAATGAGAAAATAATTTTTCATATACAAAATTGTCATATTTGAATTAATTGGCATTAAAATTCTTTTGAGATATCAACAACTTTTTGTACTGACGCCTGTCGATATATTTCATATCCATCTGGCCCTCGAAGAGATGCATACTTATAATATTTTTTAAGAGTACATATGCACATATGCAATGTTGCCAGGTTTTGAGACATAACAAGTAAGAACGTTGCAGTCGGGCGTTACCGACTGCGGAATACTCATTCACATACCATCAACAATTTAGTAGTTAAGTTTCGCTCTAATACTGTAGAATATACAGGTTTTTCCGATTTGCCACGCCCCAACTGGGCGTAGACACCTCATTTTTGGTCAGTTTTTAGAAAGAGATAACGGTACCCTAACTGCAAAGTTTGAATGCTTACCCTCAAAAAATGTGAAAATTACAGGGTATTTTTCGATATGCCACGCCCCTAAAGAGGCGTAAAAATTATTTTTGGGAAATCGATAGAGGAGGCTACCAGTAACTCAACTATCCAAATTTGAAGCTTCTAGCTATTATACTTTAGGAGATATAAACTTTTGCGGTTTGCCACGCCCCCTGTGGGCGGACATATATCCGACAAAACTTTTTAGTCTTGGGTGATCAGTCCGAGTATATATACAAAATTTGAGGTCTCTGCCATCAATAGTGTCCAAAATATAGGAGAATTCAAAAAATCACTATATCTTCAGGTCCGATTTGCCACGCCCCCAATGGGCGTAGACTTATAATTTATCTTCAGACTTTATAGAATCATACCATTAGCTGACGTGCAAAATTTCAGCATTCTAGGTTTACAACTTTAGGAGATACAGTTTTATCCGATTTGCCACGCCCCCAATGGGCGTAGATATATCCGCCATAGCTCGTGATCTTGGGTGGTCAACGCGGACCTCCATATCAAATTTCAGCTTTCTAGCTCTTCAACAAACATGATTTCTGGTATATCGGAAAATGCATTTTCCGATTTGCCACGCCCCTAGTGGGCGGATCGGGAAAATTTTAACACTTTATAAATCGGAGATATACACGAGTATGTGTTCCAAATTTCAAGTCTCTAGCTTCAATAGCGCCGAAATAGATTGCGTTCATACGGACAGACGGACAGACGGACGGACGGACAGACGGACAGACGGACGGACAGCAAGACGGACATTGCACAAAACCAATATACTGATTCACTTTCGTGAATGAGTATAAAAATAGCAAAATCGTCTCTAAAAAATAGCTGAAAATAGCTAAACAAATTTTAAAATAGCTTACAAAATAGCTGAAACCTTTATGCATTATGCATTTACTTTAAATTTTATTTTTAAATGTTATTTAATAATGTTACAATTTGGTCCACATCCAAATCATCATCAGAATTATATTTTTGATTAACTGGAATCATTTTTAAATATTTGGAGGGCACGGTATAATCATGGCAGCATTTGCCATTGCTGCGCAAGAAGAATTAGCGATGGTATAAATTCACAACTAGTGATGGTATAAGTACGACAAAGTCGTGGTGGTAGTATCGCGCAGATCATTACGTACAATTTGGGACTTAATCGAAAAATGTTTTTTTTTTTTGCTTTAAATACTAAAATCAAATTCAAAATATTCGTTTGTAAAATAGCTAAATTTATAGCTAATAGCATTTTCAAAATTTTCATAGCATTTAGGGTTCAAAAATAGCTAAAAATGCTATTAAATAGCTAATCTGGCAACACTGCACATATGTATGTAGCCACGAGTTGCACCAAGCTAATCGGAATATGCTCGTCAGAACGACTTGGCTACAAAACTCTGTGCTGGCTCGATAACTGCTTGATGGGTGTGGACTATCGATGTCAGCTCTGGTATTTTTTTTTTTTTTTTTTGTTGGCAGTTTAAACATATTTTTACATTTTACTATTAATTTTAAGAATATATCATTACAAACTTAAAAATTATAATATAATTAATTTATGTAGTTCTGTAAATAAATTAATTTATATAGTTCTGTAAATCAGTTTGTTTACAAACATAAAGCATATTCATATAAAAAAAAAAACCCTAATAATTATTTAAAAAAAAACGAATTCTTGCTATTATACTTTTTCAAGTCGATTTGTTTACAAACGTAAAAATATATTTGGTTACAAATTATTCCACAAGAATTATTTCACAAAGCCAAATGTTAGTAATATTTTATACTTCACGTTTTTTCAATTTGATTCTCACGTTTTGTTGGGAACGTAAAACAATACCATATTCCAAACTTATGTCCTCTAGCTGGGTCACAGGAATGAGTTTGAAGTTTCGCAATATAGAGACTAGTAGAACTTTAATCTCTAAAATAGCAAACTTTTGGCCGATGCAATTGCGTTGTCCAGCACTAAATGGAACAAAGGAAAATGGATGCAGACTCAACGAATTTTCTTTCAAAAAACGTTCTGGCTGAAATTGGCAGGGATTTGAAAAATGTCGAGGATCTCTCATTACATCAAACACGTGTATATTGATTTGAGTCCCCTTTGGCATAATTAAACCGTTAATAACTGTATCTTCAGTACACACGCGTCCTAAAAAAGGAACTGGTGGAAAAAGACGTAATGATTCCTTAATAACACATTCCAGATAATCGAGCTCATTGAAATTGCAAACTTGTAGTTCATTATGATCTCTGGATATATGCTGCAGCTCCTCAACACAACGATTTTGAACATCTTCATGGAGAGCTAACATAAGCAAGGTAAAGATAAGACAGGTGGAAGTTGTGTCATATCCTTCAAACATGAATGTGTTTACTTCATCACAAATGCCTTGATGGTCAATTAAGCCCTCATTCTCTGCTTCCAATAGGGTATCTAGCATTGCATATCGTTGCTTTTTGCCAATGTCACTTTTGAATTCAGTCTGTTGCTTGCTTTGACTTCGTTTACGCTTGATAATGCGGCTAGCAAAGTTGTGTGCCAACTTTAGATTTGTTGTGTGCTTTTTGTAACTACCACAGAGATAAAATATTGGCAAATAGTACATTAAAGGATTACAAGTTCGTTCTACCATGACAGTCTCTAAGGCATGTATTGCTTCACGATATTGTGCGCCCTCGATCATATCATCAAGCTTTACACCAAGAGCAGTTTCTGTTAAAAGCAAGCACAATAATTATATATATTAATTGAATTGGGATATATGTATATATATACGAACCGCAAACATTATTTAATGTAAACTGCGGAATAAGCTTACTGAGATCCACTTCGTTATCCACATTTCGATATAGAACATCGATAAGTTTATTGCATTCTTCCCTAAAATAATCTTACCAATTAGTACACTGAAATCTTTTTAAGCGGTATGCATATACTTGAAAATATCTAAAAACTCCTGTAGGATATTAAAATGAAACGCAGGTGTCAGCATCTTTCGTCTTATGTGCCACTTCCGATCTTAAAAGTTAAAGGCAAATAAATTAAACATAATTATATGACG